CGGATTGTTATTGCCATCACCTTTTGTCAGGAATTCAGGACAAGAAATTAAAGCTTGACTGTGAACGCTCACCTACAGTTATCTCTATTCCTTTGAGAAGGCCTTCATTTGTTCGCGAATGCTTCGCAGCTGCATGTTTTCCATACGATTTCATGGATTCCACCTTCTTGACGGTAAAGTCCACGCCTTAAACAAAAACAAAAAAAAAATCAAAAATTTGCTTGAACAATTAATTTGAGCTACAATCCTGGACAAAATGGTTGAGAATAACTGCACCCTTTAAGTCAGTTTGACAACAGAACATGACCTCAACCCCCTTCCCCGGGCCTCCCCAAAGCATCGTTATTAGCACTCAAACAGAATTCAGCAGGTATGTGTGTGCTCTCTAAAATACAACTTTGAGCAAAGGGGGTCCGGGGGAGGGCATGAAAAATAGAAAGTACAGTCAACTCTCGCCTTACGGACACCCCGCTATAACGGACACCTCGATATTGCGGACAGTAAAATACTAAATCCCCGGCGAAAAACACAAAGAAATGACTGAACGTAACATTTTGTTAACAGCGAAGAGCGGGGCCCTGGGGACGAGGTTGCTTTACGAGTACGTGTACTGGAACGGGGTGACCTACGTAGCACGCAGTTGATGTAATGTATTCATAAAATGTATTGTATTCCATTGTTTCTCGTTCTATTGTATTATGTGTTTTGTATTATATCTTTATCAACTGAGTGCTACGTAGATTCTCCCGGACTGGAAATACCATCATACTTTACTAGACAAAATGGCGTCGCAAACACTAGTGGAAAATATATTCAAGTTACCTTGAAGGAGCCGCTGGTCGGTTGGCGAGGTGGTTTGTTTTAAAGCAGACTCGAACCTCAAAAAGCGACTTAAATTATTACTCATTGTTTGCTCATGATTGACACCCATCGGTGGTACAATCACTTTGTCGTCTCGGCGTGCAAACCAACAATCTTTTCTATAATGACAAGAGATTGACCGGTTAGATAAAGTGGTTTGAGAATGAACAATCGAACGATTGATCGAATAGCAATCGAACGAATGATCGAATACATAAATATACGAATAGATTGACTGAACCGATGAATGGAAGGATAGACAGTGAATCGATGAAAGAAAACTGAATAAATAAAAGAACCATTGATCAAATACATAAATGAAAGAACATATTGAGAGAATGAATGGATAAATGAACAAAAGCAAGCGTGAATCGATGAATGGATTGAATTGAATTGAGATGATTGGATTAATCGTTGAACACATGAATAAAAGATTTATTGGTAAAGGGTTAATAAATGAGTGCTGTATAGACTTTGAAAAAGTCCGTCTAAAATGCGCTCTAAAGAGACACTCCCATCGAGCAATTCATAATAAAAGGCTTTCATACTCTTGAGTCGATTGTACGTAGGGTGAAAAGAGCTATGTACGGGATAAATCCTTATCTAGCGATCAAAACCATACAAAATCTAAGGAGTCGATAACTTTAACCGGTGGATAACTTTATCAATATTTCGTACAATCGTCGCCTCCGTTTACAAAACACTTCTGAGCCTACTCACTCATTACAAATCTCCTTTGTTATTGTTATAAATCCATCCATTTGTGGCCGTTGATCAAAAATGGGCATCATAGTTGTTTTCAGCAAGTTTCTTTTCAAAGACGACAATTGCCCGGTTGTGCTCGCGTCCTTCCTTATATCCAAAAAAACAGGGCTGGTTCCTGCTTGTGAAGTCGGTTTAGTGTTTCGTCCATTAATAGGTGTTTGGAAACTTCCTTGCTTGGCAAGCCTGCAAGAATAATATTAAGCCTTACTGTTATGTAAAATAATTCATGATTCTAGTGCAACAAAAACAATAGAGCGTACAGTGGAACGGCCATTCGCTTAATACGGCAATCCAGTTAAAGGCCCAGTTTGCACCATTATGCTTTGCGCGCCTCTGTTATTGCTTTGATTTACACCAAAAATACTTCTAGTATCCAAATATCACCATAAAACGAATTTTAGATGGTTGAAAACTATTATATTAGCAATTAAAGTGCTTAGGAAAAGTGAGATGCTCAAAGATTCGAAACACACAGTACAATTCATAGACTTTCCGCTACAACGGACACCTCGATATTGCGGACAATAAAATACTGAATCCCCGGCGGAA